AGAATTAAGAAATCTATGAACTAAATAGATGATTTGTATATGAGCTTTTTGACTTTAACTTGTTAATACAAATAAGTAACACTTCTAACTTTAATATATATGGCAACTAGCAATTCACTGTAAGGGTAAAATGAATTTCTCATTGTAGTACAAATTACACTATATTTATCTGTCAGAATAGAAAGGCTGCATCTCCTAATCTCTTTTCCCTCCCTGAGTATGTCTACTGAATAAATATTAAGCAACTATTGAATAAATATGTATCTTTTCTCCTCTTGTGAAAGACTGAATGAGATTGCACAGGTCTTATTTCTACATTCAGTGCTAGCTATTTTTCTTCCTTATTTCTACTGAGAGCTTTCATTTAAAGTCTATTACCCTTATGAAAACTTCACAGAGATATTTTATATGAATTAAGTATCTACTCTTTAGAAAGATAATAACACAGTGACTTTCTCTATGATGTTGAATTTATTACAGTTGATTTCAACATTCCTGTTACTTTGGATTTACTTTTCTAATACAGTAGCTACTAAGATGATACTACACAGATAAGAATGATTAAGAACATCTCAGTGCATCTTTTTCTGAAAAAAAACCCACATTATTTTCTTTTGTTTCCAGGCATTTTATAACCTAAATTAACAAATCACCAGGCACAGCTGGTGGTGGGTAATACGCACTCTGAGATGAGCCTCTTGTTGACAGTAGGTGATCTCTGCTGCAAACTTTGCTCCACAGCCTTTCTAAACTTTCTCTGCCTTTCACAGAACAGACAGTTGTGTTTCATCACATGGGATACTTCTAAAGTTGAGTGGAATAATGCCATCTTCAGTTTTTGTGCCCCCTTAGAAGTGGGGAACTTTTCATAAATTTTATATACTTAGGTTAAGCACAACTTCTCCTATTACCTTGGTTTTCCTATAGTCCTTTGGAAACACCGCATGCACAGCCTCAAGCTTGCAAATCAAAGCTTGAAAGTCTCTTTGCAGGACTCATGGAGAAAAAAACAAAAGTCTAAAGCAGCAATGATTATAATATTTTAAACAGAGATTTTTCCTTTAGCAATTTTTTTTTTAAAAAGGATATTCCATAAAATAGTTTAATTTAGGCACAGATCCAGAGGAGGAGCTAAACACTTCCAAGAAACTGTGATTGGCTTTCAGCGTCAATTGTAAACCAGTATATGATTTTAAACTCATTCTCTCATATTAAAATGGAAGAAAAATTCTGCGTAGAGAGGAATGACCACCACTCCTGACCTGCTGGTTATGTTTTCCCAGTGCAGACCAGGAGGCTGCGATCTCCTCTTCATTACAAGGGCATGCTGATGATCCATCTTCAGTCTGAGTGAGATAATACTGCCTTTCTTTTTCAATTCATGTATGCCTAATCTATTTACAGTTTTTTTGTAAACTGAGAACTTGGTGTAAGAGATTATAAAAAAATTTCACAGATTTCAAAATGTAAACAAAGGGCGAAGAATAGAGACAGGCAAAGGAAGAAAAAAGTCAAGACAAGAAGATGAAAAAGTATTAAATTCATCAAAACATCACATCTGAATAGTTGAAGGATTAAAAGCACAATCAGATTTTCAGCATATCCTGTGACCAGTGTTCAGTTTTGCATATGCTTGCATAAAGAGACAGAGAGTACAATAAGAGCCTATTTATAAACAGATATATTTTCATGTGAGTGACAAATCACATATAATGTACTCCTTCAGTGGATTTGTAGGTGTCATTTGACATTTTTAGCAGGGTTGATATGATCTGATAACTGGAACTACTAAATGATAGCCCATAGTGGCACTTTTGAGCACTTTCAGTCCATCTGCTAGTTCATTTATGCACTTCTGCAAAAACAGGAACTCCACTATATATATATATATATATATCAATAGAGCACAAGCGCTCAAAAGATCCTGTTAATTAACTAAATGAACATGATTTTCATAAAATATATTTGGTAACTGTAGCAAGAAAACACCCTGTGGCTATAATTACCCAGCAGAAATAAGAAACCTCTCCCCATGTGACAGCAGTTGCAATGAAAGACGGGGTCTTCATGATTAGCTTGCATGGAGCCATGAAGCTGTTTATTGATACACAAAGCAGACTTCATATAACTTTTAAGTTATTGCTAAAAATAGCGCACCAATAATATTCGTGTAACTCGACTATATTGCTTAACCAAGTAACATTGCTTAATCAATGCCTCGCTCTAAGATACCCAGGTACATACAGTACTTCACCTGATTCCTCACAAACCTACATACTAAGCACCTCATACCAAGTATTTCCTTATCTCTTTCATTATTCCCACTTATTCTTACCAAGTCTTGAGGCCGACTAAGCCCAGCACATCATTGTCAGTTGTGACAAGCTAAGCAATGCTTGCAGTTATGCTCTCTGGTATTCCCACACAAGGGGCACTATCTGTTGTGACCCATATTAATATGGTTATAGCTAGAGAAGTGCACACTTCTTCATTTGCATGCCCATTTCTGACTACCTATTCATTTTCATCACTGTTTTCTTCTTCATATTATTCTCTCGTCAGGCTCCTTTTGCACTTAACACTGCAGACTGCACCAATTGGACAGGCCCCCGGATGCCACAGCCACATGACTTGAAAACTTTCTGAGGGTGGGGAC